CTGAAATCGCCAGTAAAAGTATAATTCCATTCCATCTTTCCAAGTTGGAACAAACAAGACTGATCGTGACTTATTAATTAAGTTAGCTCAGTCTCTTAAGAAAATTTCTTTTAGCAAACTGTTATATAATGTATGCCCTATGCACATTTCTATAGAAATAACAAATTCTATTAATGATACACAATGACTCATTGGTGAGCAGATGGATACACAATGGCTCTAACCAGTAACCACCAAACAATTAAGTAACAATAATTATATCTAGACCTAGAGAAATTAGCTTATTCAGCTATAGATGCAAGAATAGGTATTAAAACTATGCTTAGAGTAATAATTATAATACTAGAATAAAACATATGTAGATCTAACATGCATTGATAAATTAAACAATGAGAAATATGAAAAGATCAGATTTAGATTGAATCAAATCTCATACCTCAGTACTTATATAAAAGGACAAAATTTAGTTTAAAAGATAGTGCATGACTGTGGTCAGATGCACTAGTTGTGATAGAAAATAGGAATCAGTTCAAAATTCTATGAAATTAATTATAACAGAGCTGTTTACCTCTCTAATCTCCATTACATTTAGTATTGCATTGAGACTAACTCATGTGCTGCTTGCAAAGTGATGATTTGCTAATTATTAGTTATAAACTTTTCCAAAAAATCATCATGACTTCAACATTGCTAATAACACATCAAACTTCAATTATTTTAAACATCACAGACAGCTAAAATTTTGAATCAATGCAGTTTATAACTTTATAATATTAAATAAATGAACAATTTCCAATCCTGTATCCAAACATTACACATTAAACTAATTACTCATTATAAATTTAATAGTAATGATACATCAAATTAGTAATTTATATTAACATGGATAATACTAATCATACTGTAGTGTAGTTGTAATCTTTATAAGTCTTAACTTGCTGTTGCTAGCATTTTCTTTATCTTTGTATAAACTCAAGTTACGAGTGAAAAAAAAGTCCAAACTGAAGTAATAATAATGATGAACAATAGAATTATTGCCATTGAAAAACGAGTAGCAGCCATTATAGGACTGGTAGTGTTTGCATAGCAAAGTCCTTCACTATCTATGTACTGGTACCAGATACCAGATCCATTGATGAATCCTGAAGAGAAAAAGACAGCATTGACTATCCACACAATAATGACAAGGACCAGAGCTACCCTTGGACTCATGAACCGCTTGTGGAGATGAGGCTAGGCAATAAAAAGGAACTGATCAATTGATATAAGACTTAGAGTCATGAGCATGTTATAAGCACAATAAAGTATCATGAAACCAGTGAAATCACAAGTTCCTTGCTTCTCATCAGTACTACCAATGATCCACTCACCAGCAGCTAGAGCATGAGATACATATACATTTTTTATATATTTTTGTTAATAGTAATGGGTAATAATAGGTAGCATAAAGACAATCTCATACAGTATTAAAGAAAATTCACTATATTATGCATGTACAGTGTATAATGCAGCACAGAGTCATCAGTTTAAAAGTATCATAAATCAAGTGAATTAGTATTTGATTTATTACTAGCATTAATTGGTGTAGTTCGATTAAGTTTTTTAATCATCTTACGACAAATGATATTAACAATGACACTGTTGATCTCTGGCCTGAAGTATGACTGAACAACTGGAGTCAGGATAAAGGCCAAAAAATATAATACAAGAGCAGTGATGTTGAGTTCTACAGGAGCATCAATAATTGCAAAAAATGGAGACAGAAATGTAGCAGGAGCAAAACAAATTCCATATACTAATAGCATTGATCCAAATATCCCAAACAACCTCTTCTTCTTTGAAGCATAGACACTCTCTCCTACTATCATTGACTGATTATTAATAAACTTATGAGTGAAACAAAATGTCCAAACTGAAGTAATAATAATGATGAACAATAGAATCATTGCCATTGAAAAACGAGTAGCAGCCATTATAGGACTGGCTGAATATCCATAACAAGCTCCTAAATTATTTATATATTTGAATACTGTACCAGATCCATTGATGAATCATGAAGAGAAAAAGAGAGCAGTGGCTATCCACACAATAATGACAAATACCAGAGCTACCCTTGGACTCATGAACCGCTTGTGGAGATGAGGCTTCACAATAAAAAGAAACCGATCAATTGATATAAGACTTACTGTGATGTACATGATATTACCACTATAATGCAATATGTAAGCAGTGAAATCACAGGTTCCTTCCTTCTCCTCATCAGTACTACCAATGATCCACTCACGAGCAGCTAATGAAGTAATTGTGAAAGGAAGAACCAACATTATTACAAGGTGTGCCAGTATGAGAGAAGTAAAGAATACTGTTGATGATTGTTTCCAGGACTTCCTTTGATAAATAGTAATGACTAGTACAACACCATTAGCTATGAGAGCTAGTATCATCTCAATACTAAGAACTCCTGCTACTGCCTCCGGACTGAAATCACCAGTAAAAGTATAATTCCTTTCCATCTTTCGCAGTTTGAACAAACAAGACTGATCGCAACTTATTAATTAAGTTAACTCTCTTAAGAAAACTTCCTTTAGCAAACAATTATATTGTATGCCCTTTGCACATTTCTATAGAAATAACAACATGGGTACATAACTCCTGCAAGATAAACATTGCTAATCAACAATTTCAATGCAATTCAATGTCAATTTCAACTTTGCTAATAAGTAATAACACATTAAACTTCAATTATTTATAACATCACTGCATGGCAGCTAGTTTGAGCTAGAACTTTGATGGCCATTTATACTTTTAAATAAAATTAATGAACAATTTTCCAGCCTGTAGTTATCTGAACATAACACATTAAACTAATTAATTACACATTATAAATATTAATAGTAATGAATACATGAAAATAGTAATATTAATACCAATGTACAGATATATTAACTAATAATACTGTACTGTAGTTGTATTTCTGTAATCTTTATAAGTCTTTTAACTTGCTGTTGCTAGCATTTTCTTTATCCCTGCAATAGCACGACCAGGATTAAAGCCCAAACAATAATAACAATAACAACAACAACAATAATAATTAACGTATTGTGATAGGCGTGGTCAAAGCTTGTGGTCGTGGCTCACTTTAGGTACAGTTCATGATGGTGTGACAGCGAAAGACTAAGAAAGGATTTGATATCTTAGCTAGTCTCTCACACCTACATGTATGTACATGTAATAAATTTATAAATTTTGCAGAGTTCATTGAAGACAGTGAAAACACTATGTATATATACATCCAAAATACTACCATACAGTATACTCTTGATAATACTAATTTTTCTGCTCAAATGGGAGATAGAGAGAACTAGTTGATAATTTTAACACAACAAGAACGCTTCCTTTTTATCTTAAACTACCTCCCTCCCTCTCTCACTCACCCTGCTGTCTATCATCCATCTGTATGCCTGCATCAGTACAGCTGGTCCAAGGTACTTGTCAGGATTCTACAGTTCTACTAGTGGGAGAAACTTCTTTAAAAAAATACAATTTCACAATTAAAAATTAAATTTTACAATAAAATAAAAATATTCTTGTTCACACTTACATTCACACCATGTGCTAACAAAGTGTCAAAAATAACAAATTTTAGAAATCAAAGGAAGCAGTATTTGTGCATGATACATTATGCTTGACTGTTAAATTATGATCAGGTTTATGCATAATCTTACGACAAATGATATTAACAATGACACTGTTGATCTCTGGCCTGAAGTATGACTGAACAACTGGACTGAGGATAATGGCTAAGAAGAACAGTATAACAGCAGAAATGATGAGCTGATTAGGAGGATCAATAATGGCTAAAAACGAGGACAGAAATGTACCAGGAGCAAAGCATATCCCATAGATCAGTAGCATTGAGCCAAATATCCCAAACAACCTTTTCTTTTTTGAAGCATAGACACTCTCTCCTACTATCATTGACTGATTATTAATAAACTTACGAGTGAAACAAAATGTACAAACTGAAGTAACTACAATGATACACAATAGAATCATTACCATTGAAAAACGAGTAGCAGCCATATA